AGCTTGACGTTTATCTACGAAAAATTAGATAAAAAGCTGACAAGATTCATATCCGAGGCAAGACGACGCGACGTAGAATTTGGTCTTCGGAGCGCCCCATTGTTAAAACATATTTTCAATTTCGACGTAATTTCAGGATATCTGTTATTCAAACGTGCATCAATATTATTTTCATTTCCACACGTAATTTTGCACATTCAAGGCATGCAATTGAAAACGCAGCGTTTAGTTGCTCACGCAGTTTATTTCGACGGTAGTTAATTTGGCTCGCACTAATTAGATCTCGCTCGGTAATAATCTATTTTCGGGCGCGACGCCGCCGTCACGTTAAAACACGCCCATGTTTTTATCGCTTGTTGTCCGAAAAATACTTATTTTCATCCCGCTCATTCCTCGCTCTATAAACAGCGCCGGTTACCCGTTGCTCGGCGCGGCGAGCTTGGGCTCTAAATTAATTACTAAACAATGCCGAGGCGCCGCGGCGCATGGCGTCTTTATTAAACGAGTTCGCCAACCGGGCATTTACTTAACCGACACATCATCCCCAGGGGCTGTCGCGTTTTAACTCATAAATATATTCCCTATTCTTCCCTCCTTCCTCTCTCTTTCTCTCTCTCTTTCGCTATATTTCTTCTAGATGTTTCATATCGCCGACTCGTGCAATCGATATCGGAAGACTTTTGAATATAAGACTGCTAGTTTCCCTCGCAAATGTTAGCAGATGCTTTCTCATACTTGCGCAATCGATAAGAAAAAGCAAAGTTTATCAGTTCCTAAAAAGTAAACCAAGAAAGAACGTAAACTGAAAAAATTGAATTTCTGTAAAAATAAATCAGTGGAATCGTCACTGATTTTCAGTGTACTTACAACTGTGACAAACGGTGAGTGTGTGATTTCAATATTGTTTTAGTGATAATACACTGATTCAAACAATGAATGTCACTGAAAGACAGTGAATTTTACTGTCAAACAGTATCAAGAACTGAAATTCAATGTCTTTCAGTGACATTCATTGTTTGAATCAGTGTATTATCACTGAATCAATATTGAAATCACACTCACCGTTTGTCACAGTTGTAAGTACACTGAAAATCAGTGACGATTCCACTGATTTATTTTTACAGAAATTCAATTTTTTCAGTTTACGTTCTTTCTTGGTTTACTTTTTAATATGAACTGATAAACTTTGCTTTTTCTTATCGATTGCGTTACTGAAAGACAGTGAATTTTACTGTCAAACAGTATCAAGAACTGAAATTCACTGTCTTTCAGTGACATTCATTGTTTGAATCAGTGTATTATCACTGAAACAATATTGAAATCACACACTCACTATTTATCACAGTTGTAAGTAACATTAAAAATCAGTGACGATTTCCACTTTCTCATTTCACTTTTAGAGAGATCGAAAGCGGAAATACAAGATTCGTTAACTTCTTGAAGCTCAAATCGCACAGTTGTGAGAAGAAAAAAAAACCGACGTGACACGTGCGAGTCATTCATCTTACGTTGAAAATGCGCGACGATACTTTAATCGAGAGTAAAAGGCACCGGGGGCTGATGGGGCGCGTTTCCTCCGTGGCAGCCGTCGTCGCGGATTTGTTTCTTCGTTCATACAAAATTGATTTCCCGCCGTTCCAGGCGACGGCGATGCACCGGCGGAGATGCCAGCGCGACGTTTGTCTTGCGTTCGGACCGCAAAATTTCCGGCATCATCGTCGCCCACGTAGAGAGAGACGCGCGCACAGAGAGGCCGATGCACGGGAGCGGTGCATCGCCGAGGCTTTCACGGCGATTGCTTTTTCGGCGTCGTTTGTCAGTCCGGACGCCCGGCGAGAAATCATTCGACCGTAGACGGAGCGAACGCGCCGTGAAACCTTCCGCCGACCATCTTTGCATCCCCCTTCCCCCCCCCCC